GATCTCCGGACAGTTGGAAACGGAATACTGAGTTGGCAATTAAGTTTTTTTTCTTTTTTCTTTTCAGGGTTCTTTTTGGTACTTCACATTTTTTTGTTACCTTCACAAAGACTAATTTGCTTCCTTGTGCTACGAGAATACAGTAATAATTATTTTTAAAAATATATTTAAATAATATTTTATATTTTAAAAAATTATTTTTAATATTTAAATAATTAAAAATATAAAATTATATTTTTTAAAAAATAAATATTTTTAAAAACCCAGTTCATACAACAATTTTAAAAAGCTCATGTCTTCTCACTGAAAGAGAATTTTCAAGGATGTAGACCCTGTTTGTTTGCTGAAAAATAATTTTTTTAGAAATAAATTACTTTCTAATGTTTCGTAGTATAATAAAAAATAAGTTAGGAAACAATTTCTAGTATTTGGTTATGTCATGAAAAATAAGCTGGAAAATAACTTATTAATATTTTATTTTTTTCAAACTTATTAAAATAATAAGAAACAAATCTTACAAATTAAATTGTTGAATAAAAATGAAATTGAAAAAAATATAATTTTATAAATTATCTCAAAAATAATAGAGATGAAATTTAAAAAATTAAAAAAATTAAAAGATGAAGAAATTAAAATAATAATAATCAACATTTCATAAATTATTTCAAATAAAATAAGTAACAATCAAAAGAATCAGGATCAAATTTGATAGATAAAAAGTTTCAATAAAAAATGATAAAGAAAAAACAAATAGAAATTATAAAAATAAGGACCAATGTTAATATAAAAATTAAATTTTAAGAGATGAAATTAAAAAATAAATATTTAAAACAAAATATATATAACAATCAAAAGTTTAAAGATCAAATTTGATATAATCAACAAATAATGACATTTCTAAATTTTTTATAATTTCCAGAAAATGTTTTTCATCCAAATTTTCTAGAAAAACACTTTTCTGAAAACCAAACTATTTTTTTTTTACTAGAAAGTGTTTTACGTTGATCAATTTTCTTAATAGCAAACAAATACAAGAAAATTTAGAAAGTGATTTTCTGGAAATCACTTTCCGGAAAACAAATACAGTTAAAAAGAAAAACACTTTCCTAAAAATTAAGTTAATTTTTTTATTAAAAAATATTTTTTGTTAACCAGAAAATATTTCCATTAACTAAAATCATTTTTAATTAACCAACTTTTTTTAATAATAAAAAAATTTTAAAAAATAATTTTTTTTTAAAAAAACATGCCCTCGAGTCAAAATGAGATAAACAATGAACCGGTCAAATTGAGATTTGAGAGAGTGGTCAAGAAATTTAACAAAAACCCACAATTAAAATGCCCTTGTTTTATGATCCAAAGTTACAGGAGGCATGACGACAATCCCAAGAGCAAATCCGTCCATACGAGCAAAACAACTGAAAGTGAGCCAGCTGTTTACACAGTGAGCGTGACGCGTCATGGGGTCCGTAGATCAGATTACGAGAACCAACGGCCAAGATCAATTCAAAGAAAATTTGAGGTTCATTTAAGCTGAATTTCATTTGAGGCTGAAATTTCATTTCACATCTTCCCCTTTTTTAAAACTAGAGGGCGGGTACCTTGAACAGACGCCCACGCGGAGATCGAATCCAGATTTCTAAACGGTATTTCATTTGAGTTTCATTATTCTCTTTGTTAATCTGGGGTTAGCTTAGAATCCAGCATTATCGATTCAAACAATCAAAAGACTTTATCTTTAAATGTGGGCTAATTCAAGGTCTTGATCTTTGATGTGATTTTATCAAAATGAATATTCAGATTTTGATTGTTACTTGTAAAAAGGAAATGGGATATTTTTATTTTTGGATTTTTTTTGTCAAAATAGTACATTAGATTGTTGTGATTCCCTATTTCTATAGCATTTTAATGTAAAGTTGGCATTTTCAATGTGGCAGGTGAGAGGAAATGGCAGAGAGTGAAGATATTCAGCCTCTTGTTTGCGACAATGGTACCGGAATGGTCAAGGTATTAAGCTAGATTCATTTATGATCTATTTTGGAGTTTAAAGATTCGATTCTTAAAGCGATATTGGTAGCGATTGCTGATTTGGGCTGGAAATTTTTTAGGCTGGGTTTGCCGGAGACGATGCACCAAGGGCTGTTTTCCCTAGCATTGTGGGTCGCCCACGCCACACCGGTGTGATGGTTGGTATGGGTCAAAAGGATGCGTATGTTGGTGATGAGGCACAATCAAAGAGAGGTATTTTGACTTTGAAATACCCAATTGAGCATGGTATTGTTAGCAATTGGGATGATATGGAGAAGATTTGGCATCACACCTTCTACAATGAGCTCCGTGTGGCTCCTGAAGAGCATCCGGTTCTCCTTACAGAAGCTCCTCTTAATCCCAAAGCCAATCGTGAGAAAATGACCCAGATCATGTTTGAGACCTTCAACACTCCCGCGATGTACGTTGCTATCCAGGCTGTCCTTTCCCTTTATGCCAGTGGTCGTACAACTGGTAAGTGATACAATCCATTATGTATCTGCTTTTTGTTCAAATAGATGCATGTTAAAACGTTGTTATTGGCTTATTGCATTGCAAGTTTTCAGAATAAAATGGAGTTGTACTAATTGATTGATAAACAAAATATATGGGAAAGAAGCACATCTAGATCAAGAAAAAAAATGAAATGTGTTACTGGGAACTTGTCAAGCCCTCAATATTTCTAACTTGTAAGTTGGCACAACGTATTTCACCCGTTGTCACAACCGCAGTTCGTTTTGGAAATTTTATATGATATCTACCGGGATCATGATCATGAAAACCAAAGAAGTTTCTTCAACAAGCATATAGTTTATCCAGCTTGGTGATTTACAACTGGACTGTTCAATTATAGAGAAATGATATGAATTGATACTTTTCACTATCAATGTGTTTTGGCTAGGTATTGTTCTGGACTCTGGAGATGGCGTGAGTCACACAGTTCCCATCTATGAAGGCTATGCCCTCCCACATGCCATTCTACGTCTTGACCTGGCAGGCCGTGATCTCACTGATGCCCTAATGAAAATCTTGACTGAACGTGGCTACTCTTTCACCACCACTGCAGAGCGTGAAATTGTAAGGGACATGAAGGAGAAATTAGCCTACATTGCTCTTGATTATGAGCAAGAGCTGGAGACAGCAAAGACCAGCTCATCTGTTGAGAAGAGCTATGAGCTTCCAGATGGACAGGTTATCACCATTGGAGCTGAAAGATTCCGTTGTCCAGAGGTCCTCTTCCAACCATCCATGATAGGGATGGAAGCTGCTGGCATACATGAAACAACATACAATTCTATCATGAAGTGTGATGTTGATATTAGGAAGGATCTCTATGGCAATATTGTTCTCAGTGGTGGCTCTACTATGTTCCCAGGCATTGCTGATAGGATGAGCAAGGAAATTACAGCATTGGCTCCCAGTAGCATGAAGATTAAGGTGGTTGCACCACCAGAAAGGAAGTACAGTGTCTGGATAGGAGGCTCCATTTTGGCATCCCTCAGCACCTTCCAGCAGGTACTGTGTCTATTTCTTATATATTTGGGCAGTAAACAGGATCGAACTTTAAACCTGATTCTGCACATTTTGATGTCTTCATTGTTATGCCTGTGTTGTATTGTTTAGCATCATTATATATTAAATGCTTAACAATATGAAATTTTAATTGCAATGATTGGAAGGATTTACTAGAATAATAGTGAAGCTTCAGATGGACATTGAGTAGTTAGAAGTTATATCTGAATTCATGATCAGGTACGACACTTCTGGACCGTGCTTTTCTAATCTGGTTGGAGAAACTTGCTTTCTTTTGAGTGCAGATGTGGATTGCAAAGGCAGAGTATGATGAGTCCGGTCCATCAATTGTGCACAGGAAGTGCTTCTAATCATGCAAAGCAAGAGGCTATTGGTCAAACACATACTTTATACACTTTGTATTACAAAAGGCTTCCAATCAAGTGGTTGCAAAATTATCTTCGCATTTCGTTTCCTCATTCGCTCTTTCATCTTGTGATTTGCTCCGTCAAAGTCTGAACAAAAAAAAATGAGGTCGAGTGGAAAAATTCAAGATTTGAATTTTTTACTTTGTTATTTGATTTGTAGAAGAGTTGTGGAATCTAACTGATTTGGTTTGGGTTAATTTCGGATTCATTACTTTATTGTTTCTTTAAGAAATTTTTATGAAATAAAACCAGTATTTATATTCATATACATGTGTACTTGCAACTCAAATGTTCTCTCTGAATCATTGCATGATTACCTTTGGTGGATGAGAAGAACTTTTGTTTGTTTTGTTATTCACTTTCTGGTCAATGTACCAACAAATGCTCGAGTGAATACACACACAAAACAATCAGGATTTTTATTGAAGACATGTTAAAGTCTTCTCAAGGGGGTTGGAGAAGGAATTGTTATTCTGTGAAAATGTCCTCAGCTGCTGTTAGTCATTATGAAGTGTCTCTGCGTTTCTCATAAAAAAATCAATTGCTGGAGCTTCGAATATAGCAGCTTGTTGATCATATGTTAATGGCGATAGACCCAGCAGAAGTGGTGCATGGAGAACGGGCGTTTCTGTAGCATCTCTCAATATAGACGATCGTGGAAGGCTGTACAAGAGTGCGATGCCAGCAAGATTTATCTACCTGTGCAATTGAAATGAACGCTATTCCTGAAGAAAATATTCAGTGGCACTTGGCTTCTTGTCAGTACATGGAGTGACTTGAAAACCACACAACCATACCAGATGGAGCCATTGCAGCACGAGTGAATTTTGGGCGGAGCTCAATTTGCATGGAAATGTTTTGAAGCTTAAATGTTACTGTTAGTTGAATGGTACAAAGGTAGGCTTGGAGAATTGTTAACTTCATTTAAAATTATGTCAGCGGATCATGCTGTATAATCATTCATTATTATTGGTTTGAAACAATACGAATCCAATCATTTTGCTCCATTAGGTTGCAATACTTCTACATCAATAGAAATTAACCAGACGAACACACTTTTTTATTGAAACATGGCGTATGAATAGCACAAACTTCAGGTGTATACGTCCCACATGTCAAACCCAAAAAACTGTAACTTCCCTCGTAAGAATTTCAACATGGAGCACAGTATCAGAGTGAAAGAAATCAGGCTCGACGGCCCACAAAAACTTGGAAAAGAGAAGGGGGAGGTACCAGCACTATAAGATATAAGAAGTTGCAAAAAAGCAGAAAAGAAGACAAGGGAACTGACAGCAGAAACTTGCCAAGTTTGCTCCTTTGACTAGGCTACTAGACTGCCCATTTCAAGTGCCCAGATGCTCGTTTAGATGATGGACCGGGCATCAGCGTCAACTCCTTGAAGAAAGTTAAAGTTTGATGGTCCAACACTGTCGATAAACCCTCGCACTGACATCTCTGGCACAGATGTACTATTTCCTAGCAACTCATGGTCTATAAAGATCACAACTACTGTTATATCATCATGAAAAAAACGCCTGACCCCCCTATCAACCTTCTTAAGATCATCATACCTCATCACCCTCTTCCTAGCTGCCATGTGTAGAGCTGCTCTGACTAGTCTCCTTGCACTTCCCTGACATTTAAAGAAAATAGGAGCAAAATATCAGTGTCTTGAATTTAAAAGGCCAAAAAGAAACTGGGTGCAATAAGAGAGAATACATACAGCTCGTGGATTATTGTACACAATCTCCACTGCCTCCTGGTTTGTTAGGTGTTCCCACAGCCCATCGGATGCAAATATGACAAATTTATCATTGGGTCGTAAAACCCTTGAGTATATGGATGGTTCCGATGTTAGGACAGGCCGACGAATGGGTTCAGGGAGGTGAAATCGTGGAAAAGAAGGATCAAGAGAAAACTCAGGCCGCTTCAAGTATGCATCACCTATAGATCTAGATACCTACGCAATTCAACAAGAGAAACCAGAAGGAAATACAACTAATTAACACTGGGGAAAATTGACTGATATGAATGGGGTAAACAGAAAAACTAACATGAAACTAAAAAAGATATTAACTTCAAGATAAATAAATTTCAATCTTGGAAAAAAGGTCCCTTATCTTCAGTAGTTTGCAGAATGAGCATAGCACGTAAGGTATACATGCACATGCAACATATATACTCTGAAAGGTTGAGTTTCATTTATATGATAGTGGTGAAATGGTAAAAGAAAATCTGACCAGCGTTTGAATATTGCTCTTTTATTCTACACCTTCCCGGAGAGGGAATTCCAGAAAAAAGGGGCTACCATATTCAGATTCAGATTGTCTCACTATGAGGATTGCTTCCAGGTAGCAAACCTCCACTGGTAAATATCAGCTAACCAAGTAATTTTCCTTTTTGAAGTGTCCTGAACTAGGTAAATGTATGGTTTTAAGAAAATGATTTGCTGGAAAACTGAAAAAGGAAGTGAAGGAGAGAGGGAGTGAGGATTTTGATAAAGATGAGAATTCCAAGCTTGTATTTGTGCCAGTATCTCTATATCATTTTCCTAACTTTTTCAGAAGCATTGGTTAAGCAATCATGAATCAGAATTGTTCACGAATGCAATCCTAGATAATTGAAATATGGTGACTTTTTCTAGCATATGTTATTCTGCATTATGTAAAAAAATGTGGGACCCTCAGCTAGAGAATGAAAAATTATAAACACCAAAATTTGTATCCACTTGCTTAAGGAAGCGAGACATTTTCCAGATTGAAGTACAACTTTAAGAGAGAATGAATTGAAGAGACAGTGAGTATGCATCATAATTTCAAAGTGAGAAGGCAGTTAATAACCTAAGAATAGAAGCAAACCTGAATAATGCCTTTGATTCGCCATACTCCATGCTTCATAACAACAATATGTGAATCATCTGGATGCAAGGATTTTAGTTCTTGTCTAACCTCTTCCATACTAGCATTATGATCCCTGGTCAACTGCTCGGCAACTATCTTATTCGATCTACCTAAAGAGCCAATTACAGCTCGAGAATCACCGAGATTAGCAACAAATAATGTCCCTCTCCAGATGACTCCAACCAAGCAACAAGATCCAACTGCTGCAATCAATGGTTTTATTCCACATGACCTACGGACAAGAGTAAGAAACCCATCCTCAGTTGAAGAGACGGCACTTATAAGGATTTCTTCAGAGATGGTTCCTCTTTCTCTGGCATGCCCTACAAAGCAATAATTGCTCATGGTTCATCACATAGAGAATGTTGCCTGGAAAAGCATTAAATATAATACATGTCGTAACAGTTTCAACACTGAAAGCATTATTTACTTCCTTTTCCGTAATTCTTTTCCCAAAAACAAATAATCGGTGACGAGCTACCACACAATGGACCATGTTCAATTTTGGTAATCAACCATCATCACGGACATGCACAAAACTACGGAGCAGGCTGAAGAAGCATCCATCCACATAACCATCATAATGAAAACCACTCTTACCAGTTACCATAGATCTTCAAGATTTTGCCTTACAATACTAAACTTAACCAAACAAACTAATGTAAAAACAGCAACACTAGAAGTAGTTGACACTGGCAACAATCACTCACAAGAAATCAATTCGACTCGCAACAAAACAATAATTAAATTCATAGAGAAACCAATCAGATTGTATCGAAGAGATGTACAAATTCCTTCAAATTGGCACCAGCCACAAAAGTAAACAGATTAACCTAGTCAAACCCCATACTAACAATCAATTCCACCAAAAAGCCAATAAAACTAACATACAAAATCCAAACTTGTTCTAAAGCATATAAAATCAATTCAAATTCACATTAACATTAACATCACACGTAAAACTACTAATCATACAACAAAAGTCATCTCAACTCAACAACTAAGCACAAGAAAAAACCTGAAAATTAACAAAAAAAGAAGAAAAAAAACTCACTCATGAGATTTAAGAACAAATGGTCAGATATGAACCGAGACGCATCAGGTCCACCATGACCATCATAAACACCAATAAAAGTAGCATCACGACCAGTCTCTACTTGACTATGATCTTCAATAACCTCATTGGCTTGAACCACAGCAAAAGAGAACTCTCCAAAAGAGTGTTTCTCAAGGTCTCTAGACCATAGAAGAGAGTCGGCAGTAGTAGAATCATCATCATCATTTAAAATGTCATCCTTGCTCATACGTGCATATTGCCTCCCTGGTCTCCAACAAGCCATTGCTATTCTTGTTAGCCACGACAACATCCCTCATTTCCTGTTGAGAAACAAAACAAAACAAAACCCACTTTTTTTAATTAAATAAATAAACCGTTTGGCCTAGATATTGTATAGATTGAGAGTTTTCAAGATTTGGGTCAATAAAGATTCGAGCTTCGAGATAGAAACCTCGAAAGAAAGGGGTCAAAGCAAGGCAATGTAAAGAGAACTGTGAGATTTTAATAATTCAAGAACAAGAAACTATAAAAGATTGATGGCCCATGTTGGGGAGACTGGGAGTGAGAATGAAGAGTGAAAAAATTTGCAGACTTTGGCTCAGAGAGAGAGAGAGAGAGAGAGAGAGAGACTGGATAAAGATCTGGACTTCAGGCAGTTAAGACGAAAAGGGGAGAGCTGCGGAGGGGAAAGTTGACAATGGATTTGGTTTTTTGTTTGTTTGTTTTTTTCTCTCTTCTTCTACTACTTCTCTGTTGTGTTGTGTTTTTTTTTTTTAATATTATTATTATTAAAAGAGACAAGAGAGCAGAAGTCCACTAACCTTTGGTCTTCTTCTTCAAAACTTGAACTAAAATTGTAGACATCTAAATGCTATAGTTTGCTTACAGATTGCTGGGGAGTGATGAACCTTGCATGAGAAAAATTGTATGTGCTCGCTTGGTGTTGTAGCCTCCTTGTATGAAATGAAAGATACTGTATTCATTTGGGCAAGTCCCTTTAATAAGGGAAATGACCTTTTATAAGATTCGATATTTGATAAGATTTCAGCCTATCGAGTGAAAACTTATCAATTTGGTTGAATTATACGACAATATGATGGATTTTTAATTTTTAGAAATGGATTAATATAATTTTTTATTTTTAAAAATTATTTTTAATACTATCATATTAAAATAATTCAAAAATATAAAAAAATTAAGTTAAAAAAACATTAAATTTTAATGAAACACCATTTAAATCTAAAAAGATAATCTAGATTGTCTATATATATTACAATAATCCACAAAAGCAAAAATGTTATAAATCTATGACAATAAAATTCATTAGCAAAAATGTGCAAGTGATCATTAGAGTGATTATAAAGATGCAAACACTTTACTCAAACCCTAACCATTATAGCAAATCTTCATTACCAAACTAGTTTTGGTAAGGTTTTAGCAGCTAATACATCATTGTGATCCTTAATCATTTGCAAGCTATGGACCAAACAAGCAATTTAGATGATGGGAATGAGGATGCTCTATGCTAGTAGTTAATAAGTAACATATTCTCTTCAGTTCAAGATGTTAAAAATTCAAGTCTCTCTTGGCTCTCATGCCTGCCTCTGCATTTCACAGAATGAAATGAGAAAAAGGGACCTGGGGAGTGAGGAAGAAGGGAGGGGGTGACAAGCTCAACATGGCCAAGGCAATCTTAACCATCCAATCCAAAGAAATGGCTTTGATATAAGACGTGTGTGATTGAGTAGGTGGAATGGCAATTACAACTTTGCTGTTCGTATTAATAGAGGGGAGGAAGACAAGCAAGTGTGGTAGAGGCAAGTTGTTTTCCATAATCTAAAGGTTAGGGCAAACACTTGAGACATGTGACATGGGCTCTTTTGGATCACATGACTGTCATTGTATTTTGGTTTTTTACCTGCAAATCTCCTCCAATCTATTTCTAGCTAAGAATTGCCAACAACATCATTGCAATAAAAGATATGGTTGATTTCTTCACTGTACATTATCAGATGAAAAAGGGTTTTTCTTTTTGCTTGAAAATATACTCCTAGGTGTGTGGTGCGGCGACTTTGAAAATGAAAAAGTAGTTCCTGTTGGTTGAGTTTTCTGCTCTAGCCATTTTATAGGTCTAATCTAGCCTAGCTACCAGCGATTTGCCGATGCTCTTGCCTTAAGGTGATAGGTCTAATCTAGCCTAGCTACCGGCAAATGGACTTAGGTGATAGGTCTAATCTAGCCTAGCTACCAGCGATTCGTCGATGCTCTTTGCCTTAGACTTATGTGAGAAATTATATGTGACTTGGGTGAATGGAGCATAGAACTAACCAATGGATCAGGAGGTGACAAAGAGAGATGAACTTTTGAAGGCTATTACTGCTGGGATCGTGTAATTAGCATCTTGTGATCTTTTCATGGCCCATCAATTTGATTTGATAACGAATAAGATTTGCTGATGTATAGATTAATAACATATGTTATTTGGATACACTTCATCGATCATGGACGTTGGACCCCTTGGCCATGGATTCTGGACCCATTTCATCGAATAATAATAATAACAACAATAAGATAGTGTCATCGTACATGAAAAATATATCTCCCAAAAGCTAGTTGATTTTATCAAATAATAGTAACAACAACAAGAAGACAACATCATTGTACATGAAAACTATATCCTCCAAGAGCTAGTGACAGTCACTAATCATGTGTTGTTCTGCGTTTCTTAGCTTAGTTGCAGGGGTGTGTTTAACAATATTTATTTTATTTTTAAAAGTAAAGATATGTTTGATAAGGTGATTGGTTGTGATTTAAAATATTTTTTATTTAAAAATTATATATTAAAATAATATTTTATTTTATTTTTAAAATTATTCCAACATAGCACATAAAAGAAATTTAAAAATATAAAAAATAATTAATTTTAAATATAAAATATTTAAATTTTAAAGAAACGCGTCCGTCACTAATACAATTGGCAAGAAAGATAGAAGGAGTGGTAAGATTTCTTGATTATCTCACCTCCTTATTATTACATTCTCACAGCAGTTGCTGTGGTGAAGACAACAAGAGGAAAAAAATATAAAAGCAAGATTGATCGACTTGGAATTTAGCTTGAAGCTTGAAAACTAATATGAGTAAAAAAAGAAATGTGTGAATTTGATGTTTGATATTAACAAAAATTAAACCTCCTTCTCTCTCTGTTTTTCTTTTTTTAAGTTCATACTTAAATAACTGCTACTTAAATATACCACGAGCTAGATCATATCGTTAATCAAACGCCTGTGTCGATTGTAATGCTTCTCCATGAGTACTTTTGAGGCTCCTTCTACAGTCCTGCGCCATGTCTGCATTGTGAGAAGTTTTGATTAGTAAAATAAAACATGTGGATCCAGATTCGAACCAACAACACCAATCAAAAAAAGTAAATAAATTTTCGAGAACGCTATTAGTAGTTAATGAGATATTGCTCTAATGATGAATGACTGGAGAATAGTAGGAGAACGTCTCACCTTTTCAATGGAAGCCAAGATTGACTTGCTCTTGGTATCCCTTGCTTTGAGCTGTAACCTTCCGATCCCAAGTTGCCTCAGCAATACAGATTTCCTTGTCACCGGATGAAGAAGTGACCTCCTCTCTACTAAGCTGGAACTCGACTTACAATGTGATGGACTTTCGCATAAATTACCACTTTCGAGATCCCTTCTTGTCTTCCTCCTTTTTCTCCTTTTTAACACCCTCGCCAGCTCCAATTTCTTAGCATCATTAGCATCATCATCACTCATTTCTTCCGCAAATTTCCTCAGCAACTCATCTGAAGATTTCTTGGTTACATGTTGAACTGTAGTACTACTAGAGTCATTATTAACAGTGCCCATTTTGAAGAGAGAGAGAGAGAGACAGGAAGAGGGTGATTGAGAGATAAGAGGGGTATGTTATGGTGACAGGGAAATGTGTATATATGGAGGAGCTGGTTTTGTAGGGTAGTGACTTTGGTGTTATGTGAGAAATGGACCGTTGAGAAACAGGGATGATTTGAATAATTGAAATAGAAAATATAGCCGTTAGAGGAGGGAATAATGGGGTTAACTGGACAATAAGTTGGCATTGACATGGGATTTATTGGTGCTTGACAATGATAAGATTTACATTAATTCGTACTTCGACTAGAAATGCGCGCCACCCATGTTCGTGCTGATAAAATTGTCAGTAGCAAGGTTGGGTGTTTTTTTTGTTTTTCCCCTGAGAGGAGGGAATGGAACATGTAATAAGAATCGGGCTGCCCATGATTTGGGATTTGACAGGATGGGCTTGCCCACCAGGAATTGTTTTGTGCCACCCAGTTGATTTATCGAATGCTACTAAAGTCTATTCATGCAAACGAGACTGCCATAAAAATGCCTTTGCACTCAACGTTTTATCGGTGACGTGCTTTGAGTAGAGGAAAAAGCTCATTGACCGCTAGTTCCATTTTGTGAAATGATTATTATCATCATGTTGAATGATAGAGGGCCTTTTATGAATTCATGGCTACAGAAGTTGTCATCATGTTCATCAAGACCTAAGCAGCTCAAGCCCACTCTCAAAAGAGGGAGATTTGTGAAACTAGAACTATAATCATGGAGTTCAATTGTGCCCTGAAAAACAACAAAGTTCAGACAATGACAATACCTACACCATTCCTTTCTGGTCCCGCAATGCGTCCTGGAATTTTAAGTTCAGAGATGTTGAACTACATTTCAAAATGTACAAGACCTACATACAATTCACAAGAAGGCCCTCCAAAATTACAAAACATCCTGCAAGAAAGAAATACCGTCTAGGCAGTTGGAAAACCTGCTGGCAGACATCTTCCGATGGAGATTATGTATAGTCCAATTAATCTACTGGTGGCAGGCTTCAGACAGTGCATTAGGCAGTGATAACGTCCTAGCAGTTCTAGTCCCTTCAGTAACACAGATATCATACATCATAGAACGTTTTTAAGGGCTGAATTGAGCACCAAAACTGAGAGTATGGCATTCCAGATTTCTCAAATTAAGCTGCAAAATGTATGAAAATTACTGTTAATGGCAAACATTGTTGAAAGAGAAGTTCATAGAAAGAAACTGAAAAGAAGAAAAGCTACAAACTTTGTGCTCCCTATCTCACAACACTTGAGTAATGAAACTACATTCTTGTGCCCATTTCTAACTATTAATCTCTCTTATCATTCTTTGGTGAGTTTCCCTACTAAACGAACGAACCAAAATTTAAAATGTAAAGAGGATTGGTAATCAGAGGCCTTGTTCAGGCAGAACTACAAATGTAATATAGTTTCACGTATCTAATCTAGAGTCATTTTAACATTGTTATTAGCAGTGTAATAATATTAACCAAGTAACACTGATGATTTTAACATTCCTTATTGTCCCACCAAATCCGTCTCTTGCTTTCATCTTTCTGATAAACTTATTTGAGTAAACAAAAATAAATTAACTAAACAATCCTAAAATGTAGGTTAAATGATTCTATCTTTCATCTTTCTGACAATAGACTTATCTTCTCTCTTTCTTTTTTTAATTTTAACATAAGCGTTTTTTACTTCCCTTCTAAAAGAAAAAAAAACAGAAGATCCATAATGCCGACCACAACCGGTTTGCAATGGAGGCTTTGTTGTTGTTATAAAACAAATGAAACAAAAAGATAAGTAAATCAGAAAGAGGAGGAATTACATATCTTCCAAATCCAGGAAAGGAACAAAATGCAAGACATGGATCCACATCTAATCATGCATGCTAAAAGTTTGCATAATAAAGTTCAGGTATGGTTGTTTCAGATCCTTAACAACTTTGAGCATTATAATAACATACAAAAACTTACCACAACCGCAATTCCAGTATTACAGAATTTAGGAATGGAAATAAGTCTCACAAACTGCCCTTCTGAACCTGCAATTTAATGCAACATTAAATCTAACTGTAAATTTAAGAAAATTCAACTACAGATTAGATCTGTTTTTCCTTATTTATTATGTATGAGTTCATGAGAGAATACCGTTTAAAATGCGAGTTCCATATTTA